GTCGAGAAGCTTGGAGCAGAGAAGGAGGCGCCCAGCGAGCCCCCTGGCCGGAGTGCGTAGAAGCAGCTGCATCGCCACCCCGCAGGCCGCGGCCGCCCGTTGCTTGCCCCTGCTGGCCGCCGCTGTCTCAGAGGCACAGCTGCCCCGTTGCCCGTCGGCTGCGACAGCCGCCTACGCGTGCCACCGGCCGGAGCCTCAAGCGTGCGCCGCCGCCCGACGCAGCCGCCTACGCGCGTCGCCCGCAGGAGCACAACCGCCGCTGCTCACCGTGTCTCCGTCCCACGCCACTCGCGCAAAAAGGGAAATTTTTTCCCTCCGCTTCAGCGATTCAGCCGGCAAAACAATCCTAAAGACCCTTTTTGACCAATTTTCAATAACGCCCCTATGTAGGTAAGGTCGTCCTGAGTACACCGAGGGCTAACTTTGGAAAAATATCGGTTCGAATGGAACCACCCGGTTCATCGGTTCGACGAAAAACCACAGGTTCAAAGGTTTATAACGGTTCGATTGCACATAGAGTCTTTTAACTGAACCGGACCGGTTTATACTTCGCTTTGGTCTTTTAGCGGTCCGGTCTGGTACTAATAACTCTGCCTCCGTCCCCCTCTCTCCCTCTCCTCGCGCGCCCTGATCCCCGCCATTCATCCATGGCGACGAACAGCGCGGTGATGGTGCTCCTCCTCGTCGCTGCCGCCGTACTCGCCTGCGCGCGCGGCACTCGCGCGTTCTACCTCCCCGGCGTCGCCCCCGCCGATTTCCGAAAGGTCTCTCCCTACTTCGTTTTTCTTCTTCCTCTGTGCTTCGATTTTGTGTTTTTGCTAGGTGCGTTGGTTTGTTGATCTCGGTGAGTCCTCCCCTCACGCTCTGAGCCTGTGTGGATTATTGCAGAAGGACCCGCTCGCCGTGAAGGTGAACCAGCTGAGCTCCATCAAGACGCAGCTGCCCTACTCATACTACTCCCTCCCCTTCTGCAAGCCGGGCACCATCGTCGACAGCGCCGAGAACCTCGGCGAGGTGCTCCGCGGCGACCGCATCGAGAATTCACTCTACGTGGTAAGCCTGTACCACTACTCCACTATCAACCTGTGTTTGTCAGTACTTAGCGGCCGTTCTGAGAGAGTCTGAGCAAAAGGTCACTCGTGTACTTTTGCTATAGTTAGCTCGGTGCTCTTGTGAAATTTCAATTGTTCCTTGAAATGCAGTTCGAGATGATGGAGCCTAGGCTCTGCCAGATCGTTTGCAAGATTACTCCGAGCCAAGATGAAGCGAAAGATCTGAAGGAGAAAATCAAGGATGAGTACCGCATAAACATGTGAGAGGGCATATGTTGCTTTTCATAGATTTAGATCAATGGCCCGTTTATTTCAGGTGAATGGAACGAGGAAGTGAACCTTGTTTTTTGTGGCTTTGCAGGATCCTTGACAACCTTCCTTTGGTGGTCCCAATTAAGAGATTGGATCAAGAGGCACCTACTGTATACCAACAAGGTGTGCATATCGGCATCAAGGGACAGTACTCAGGGGTGGGTTGATAATCTGTTAGCTAGAATGTTGATGTGTTCAGCTTATGTTGAATGTGTTCTGATTTTTTGACTGTTATTGATGCAGAGCAAGGAGGAGAAGCATTTCATTCATAACCACTTCACGTTTCTGGTGAAGTATCACAAGGATGCGAACACAGATCTTGCCAGGATTGTTGCCTTTGAGGTTAAACCATACAGGTGTGATATTCTATCCTCTTTTATCAACTTTAGCACCGTGCTTGCCATCATTTTCCATTTATATGATTGTTATAACAAAAAGTTTCCATATCTGCTGGCTTCTGCAGTATTAAGCATGAACCTGATGGCGACTGGAGGGGGAATGCTACACCCCTTAAAACCTGTGATCCACACTCAAGACGCCTTGTTGTCGACTCTGATTCACCTCAAGAAGTAGATGCCAACAAAGAGATCATTTTCACCTATGATGTTAACTTTGAGGTAGTTTAAACTATTTTTCATCTTGAACTTTTTGTCTATGACCAGCCTTAATGCATTATGACAGAAGTCTCCACTGTAAACCTTCAGATAGATGGTATAGTTTTTTTCCCTTGAGAATTTCAAATCTTCTGACACTTTTTTGTTCATATGTGTGTCATGCAGGAAAGTCCTATCAAGTGGGCATCACGCTGGGACACCTACCTTCTGATGGCAGACGACCAAATCCACTGGTTTTCTATTGTCAATTCACTGATGATAGTCCTCTTCCTCTCTGGGATAGTTGCCATGATCATGCTCCGGACTCTTTACCGCGACATCAACAAGTACAACCAGTTAGAGGACCAGGAGGACGCCCAGGAGGAGACAGGATGGAAGCTTGTCCATGGAGATGTGTTCAGGCCTCCTGCCAATGCTGACCTGCTGTGCGTATACGTCGGTACAGGCGTACAGTTCTTTGGAATGCTGCTTGTCACCTTGCTGTTTGCCATCCTCGGGCTCCTTTCACCTTCGAACCGTGGAGGGCTCATGACAGCAATGCTCCTCCTCTGGGTCTTCATGGGGCTGTTTGCAGGGTACGCCTCCTCGCGCCTTTACAGGATGCTCAAGGGCTCAGAGTGGAAGAATGTCACCATCAAGACTGCGCTGATGTTCCCTGGCATCGTGTTTGCAATTTTCTTTGTCCTGAATGCACTCATCTGGGGCGAAAAATCCTCAGGTGCCGTGCCATTCACCACCATGTTTGCTCTGGTACTCCTCTGGTTCGGCATCTCCGTGCCACTGGTCTTTGTCGGCAGCTACCTCGGCTTCAAGAAGCCTGCCATGGAGGACCCAGTGAGGACAAACAAGATACCACGGTCAATACCAGAGCAGCCATGGTACATGAACCCGGTCGTCTCAGTGCTGATCGGAGGCATGCTGCCCTTTGGCGCAGTGTTCATCGAGCTCTTCTTCATCCTGACATCAATCTTGCTGCACCAGTTCTACTACATCTTTGGCTTTCTGTTCCTGGTCTTCGTCATCCTGATCCTAACCTGCGCAGAGATCACCATCGTGCTTTGCTACTTTCAGCTCTGCGGTGAGGACTACCAGTGGTGGTGGAGATCCTACCTGACGTCTGGCTCGTCAGCGCTGTACCTCTTCCTCTACGCCACGTTCTACTTCACCAAACTGGAGATAACGAAGACGGTCTCCGGCGTACTCTACTTTGGCTACATGCTCATTGCCTCCTACGCCTTCTTTGTGCTCACCGGCACCATCGGCTTATATGCCTGCTTCTGGTTCACCAGGCTCATCTACTCTTCTGTCAAGATCGACTAGAAATCTAGAGACTACAGTTGTAACACTGTTTTGTGGGTTTGCGAAAGGAGAGGACCAAAAGAGAAATAATAGGTAACGAACATCAGAAGTGGAGAATGTAGCATGCATTATACAAGGTGAAACTTTAAACTAGGGTGCTTATTCAGGTGTTTTAGGGTACTTACAGTTTGATTCTGGAACACTAAATTAGTTTACTTCGAAGCCAGTAATTCAGTGTGTATCCTTACAGAGCAGGTTTGTGATGTTACAATCCAACGATTTAACATTTTTAACCATATCTTGTGTTGGTGACATTCTGAAGGATCCCAGCATCTTCTTTTCGGTTGTGTGACTACTGGTTACGCTGAAAGCGTCAGACAAGCTTCGATTTCCACAAGTGAGACTTCTTTATTCAGTAATAAAAGTGGCATGTTCTACACACGGATAGTAAGATAGTAGCACACGAGCAAAAAGCACTTGAGATTTTGCACTTTTTTTTACGCCTCTCATCTATGTACAGGTGTAGCATCGGCTCATGTACAAACTCACGCCAACCCCACACACGCACACCACACTCACACCACGCGTACACAAACAAACCTATAACTATACTCAGATCACTGAATCGCGTCCTTTTTAAGATCATCGGGTCCCACCATAAACCCGTAGACGATGAGGCGGGTCACAGTCCCTTTATGGCTCCACGTGAGAGGCAACCGAATTTATCGGCGGGCGAACGCCGGGGAGAGACGCGAGTGCGATTCCTCGGAATCGAACTCGCGCCGGCTGCAAGCCCTCCGGCTGTGCTAGCCATCCGAGCGCTGCTCGGTTCTCGAGATTTTGCACATATGGGACACGTACACATCACCCGCCAAAGAGTCTAATAGCTTATTACTGGAACATCTCGGTAAGCGCTAATGGTCCCCGAACATGAGGTAGCCGAGGCCACCAACGACGATGAGGCCGCCGACCGCCAGCGTCGTTGGGCTGTAGCGCCGTAGAGGGCTCGACGGATGCGCCGATGCCGACCCCGCGCGCTTGAGCGGGTCTTCTGCCATGGACGCCCACGCATTCATCTTCTCCGGCCACATGACGCACAGACGATGATGCTCCTTTCTGAGTTCTGATGATGGCTACCTCCACTAACTACACTACACGGACTAGGAAGCTCTCTGTGTCCTGCTCCGTGCTGAAACGTGTTATGGGGTGCTAGAAGCAGCTTTATGCTGGTACCAGGTTAAGCGGCAAGAGGACACGCAGGGGGTAACACGTGCAAGCGTGACATCGTGGCACTGCCACGTAGCCCTACGCAACATCAAGCCAATATCCACGCACTGGTCTGGTCTGCCTCAGGAATGAACTAGTAGCAGCCTACTAGAAATGTAGTGCATCATCATGAGTAAATTGCCAGATGGAAAGAGAAACCTTTTTTCTTGTTTAGAGCCAGAAGGATCAGGAACATCGTTTTGGTGAAACCATCTTATCTTAACTGATGATGGAATTGGGAAGTATTATTTCAATAAACTGTAATATTATTTTCCCTTATACAGGACAGGGATCATGTCAGGAAAGTTACAATTTCACCCGAATTCTCGGTAGGGATGCCCTAGACCTCTAAAAGAATGGTAATTTACATCGGCAGAAATTCAGTGTTCGGATCAAGTACCTTACATGGTGAATGGAATCATCCGTCCTATGGGAGGAGAGGGCATATACATACACTCTACAAAGGCATCAGTCTCTTGTACTTGAAGAACCAAAGGAACGAGCAGAAGATGAAAACGCCGACCACTGAAGTAATTACAAGGACCCACTGGAATGCATTCTCTATGTTGAAAACCGATGTTTCAAAGTTCATCCCAAATATCCCAGCAACCACTCCGAAAATGGCCACAACAAATGTCGCTGTCGTTAGCAGCAACTCAAACTGGATCAGCTGGTTCCGCACATTGTCCTAGGAACATATGAAACTCAAATAAGTTACACAGACCAGCAGAAATGCTTAAATATGATATGCATATCCCAAATAAGGAGAGAATAAAATATGTTGACGTACCAGCTGAATGTTGATGAAGTCTTCAGTGTCATCAATATACTCTTTCAGCTGAAAGAAGGAAAAACAGATCAGATCCCTTTGACTCCTATTACAGTATTACTACACATAACCAGATTTAAGAATTGCTGGGGATATGGCTCAGTACCGATGTCAGCTTGTTCAGAGTGCTGTCGATAACAACAAAATAAGCTTCCAGTAACATCTCCAGCTCCTGGATATGCTCTGTCGTTGTGTTATCTGAGCCCTTTGTACTGTCATGCCTACTTCTACACAAACTGAAAGTTTTCTCTAGTTTTCGTGATTCTGTGGGTGATGAGACTGGAGATACAGGAGCTGAAACTGAAGTCCCAGCAGCGCCTGCTGAATTGTAGCCCAACAAAGACTGGTCACCAAAGACAGATGATTCCATCCTCATCTTTTTTTCGGTGAGATACATCTCAGCCATATCACCATCATCATCCATTAGTTGTTCTATTTCATCTCTGACCTATTGGAAGACAAAATAACAATTAGAAAACCAGTCTACACAGATGGTCTGCAACAACAAGAGAAATCGAGATTAGGCTATATTTTACTTTTTGAACTCTTCTGGTCAATGCAACTAGTCTACTTTTTAATCGCCGGACACGTTCCAAATTGAGAGTACTGATTTTGGATGTCAGCTCATCCAATAATGGATATGCTTCAATTTCCAATTCCGCTGCCTGAAGAGAAACAGAAAAACACACATTATTACATATGCACTGATTTTATTAATGTCAAAAGGCAATCAGCATCATTCTACACAAGGCATGCCTACACCTAACTTGCTTGGGACACGAAACCTAGAAGGTTCTGTTGTTGATTTGATCATGCAACAGGGGTGCTTCAATCAGTAAGAAATAATATGCATAAGACTATATCAACAGTCAACACTCAACAGAGAATTTTTGTAGCTAAAACTCTAGCCAAAAAGCCATGAGTTCTCGGACAGAATGGACTGAAAAACTTGTGGCCAGTGTTGCTTTGTGTTTTAGAAGTTACTGTTGGGTGTTTGGCAGAGTTATCTCTAGGCACATTTCTTGTACTTTTATCCAGCTTTTACAAATGCCAATCGTAAAACCTAACAAAGCTCATGTCGCCTCTATGCTCACTTTCAGAATTTTAGCATCCATGGATGCAATCACTCAGTATTAACTTTTTTTAATCAAATCAGAAGGGCAGTTACTAAATATGGAAAACACTAAACCACACATAACTCATCCAGATAACAGCTAAACACAGACAGTTACTGTCCCATTGATAAGTTGGGCTCGTAGAATCAGGTCATTTTGAAAAATCGCCACTTATAGAATTTCCCAGTTATAATACCAAATGATATGCTACCAATGCATTCATTAATACAATAAAAATCATATGTTCAAGGAGCTACATATTCCTGTGTCGAACAATTCAATTCGCCATCCTTTTTGGTCACTTTTGAAAGCCTCTTCAACCTCAATTGGTAAACTCAAAACAATTCCTAAATTATTTGTAACTCAAGCAAAATAAGTATAAGAAAACTACTCGTTTTCAATCGCCTGAAAAAAAAAACTCAGATTACTAAATGTTCTGTACAGGATTTTGTCCATTTGTTGTGCTTAGGATCATTAAACAGATGAATATTGATAAAGCCATCAAGATTTGTTGGAGAAAGCATCGATTTCTTGGGTACCAAGGGAAGAAGGCATTAGAAACTGCCTAAGGAAGGAAAGAATCTGCACATGAAAAGGCTGTTACAGTTAAAGGAAGAAACGATTTGTGTTTCTTGTTTATATTATATATGTTAATATGTTACTTAACATGCACCAAATCTGAAAATTTCTCTTAAGCAACAAACATCCAACTTTTAAACTTTGATGGGCTCATTCTAACTATACTACCTGAAATTGCAAAAGGCAGGAGAATGGTGCAAGTGTATGCTGTAATCTAAGTAGACATTTAAAAGGAAAAGGAGGCGGAGCTGCTAATCTTTGTACAGTTGGAAGAAATAATTGATGCAAAACAAAAACTCTCGCTGGCAACATGTGTTCAAATCACCATCAGAAAGTCAGCAGCAACATTTTTACTTGATTGATGCTCAGAGCAACAATTGGGAAGTTGTGGTATCCCATTCATCCAGCAAGAACTAGAACCAGCAGTGGTTTCAGAATTTTTTATTCTATCACGCGCAACATGATACTCACAGAATAACCTCAACCTCTCATTATGACTCTTGTAAAAACACTGGCAAGCCAAAACACAAGTATTGGACCATTAAACCAGCCAATTGCACAGTTGCAAACCATGTTAAAATATCATCATTGTCGCGCCATAGCCCAATCATGGGAACTAAACACACCCTGATTCGAATAACCAAACTAAAGCACAATATCAAATACAGTTCAGACACAGACATGAAATTGGAGAGTTTTGATGATCACCTGCGCATCGAGGAAGGAGCATGCGGCCTCGAGGGCGAGCTCGAGTGCGCGGAATTCGAAGGGCAGCTCGTCGCCCTCAGCGCGCTGGAGGAGGCGGCGCTGGAGCTCGGCGGCGTACTGGAGGACGTAGCTGTCGAGGGAGTTGAGCAGGAGCACCTCGTCTGCGGTGATGACGCAGCGGATCTGCTCGAGGTTGACGACGATGGCGCGCTCGCGGCCCAGAACCGTGGACGGGTACACGAAGAGCGGGTCGAGAAGGCGGAGGTCCCGGGCCGGGAGCTCGCAGCGCCGCATCATGGTGGCCTTGTCGATCTCCAGCGTCTGCACGGAGGCCGTGGCGGCCTCGACGCGGATCCAGCTGCGCGTGCCGCCGCCGCGCTTCTTCAGGTTGGGGACGTCCAGCACCCCCGGGAAGCGGCGGCCCGCGGACCCCGGGGCCGCGGACGGGAGCGCGGGCGAGGACGCCGACGCGACGTGCGACGGGTACGCGCGGTGGAGGAGCGGCTGCTTGACGGAGTCCCCGGCGGCGGCCATGGCGCGCCGGCGGTTGATTGGCCGGTGGAGTGGGCGGTGGGGTCTTTTCGCGGATGGGCCCGGGCGCTCGCGTGTCGCGTAGACTCGTCGTCGAGGGGGAGAGGGGAGTTGGTGGAAACGTGCGGCTCAGGCCTCGGGGGACGGCCGGCCATCTTTTTGCACTTTAAAAAAATTGCAACCTCACATTTGCATTTTTTTTTGTTTTCGAGGAACCAAATATCTGATAACACTCTAGCGTAAACCATATGCAATTTTCATTTTTTATGAGATGCGAGCAGCTTGAACATGGAATACAGCAACTATATGAATTTTACAGCTGTATAAATATGCTCGTTACCGAATCAAACTGTGAGTTTATGTTTTATCATCAGATAAAATTATTAAATTACCGCATGGAATCTGAGCAGGGTTGTCAGCATCGCAGTTTTGAAATGAATTGAACATTTGTCATCGTGTATTATTGATGAGAGAGAGAAACAATTAGAGGTGAAGTTACATCATTCAAAAATCTAGACGGACCCTAGTTCTGACATCGTTCAAAAATTATCTTAGTTTATGATTGAGTGGACATGGTGCCATATATGGTCAGGACCGCCAAAATCGTTGAACTGATTCGGTGGCTTGTTCCAAAAATACTTTAATTAAACTTATTTTTATTCTAAAATAAAATGAGTTTGATTTCCAGTGACTTTCGAGTTTCGACTTTGCCTTGGCTCATTATGCTCAGGTAAAACTGGGTCTAAAATAATTTAGGAGACCATAACAAATAAAATTATATTAATTTTGAAGAGAGCTTGAAAAAAGTGCACCCATGTATCCACCCATGTATATGGGCAACATGCTAAGTAATATAAGCACATAATCCTTCCATCCTAAAAATAATACAATTCTACATTTTTTGTTTGATCGAGTTTGATAGTTTCTATAAGCTTGATATGTAAATAATTTAACTAAACACAAAGAATTGTGTTTTTCTAGGACGAAGATAGTAGTGAGAAGGTTTGAACATTGCCCTCTTTCTTCTTGAGTCCTGTTTTTTCTAACTCCCTTCGATTTTATGCATATTATTCTCTCCTTAGACAGACCTATGCAAAAGTCGCATAATAAGAGTCTTCAAAAAGGCCAATTTGACTCGAGCCTAGATCTTGTGCCCAGGTTTGTCCTGAAGATAGGTTTAAGCCTATTATTTCAGGTCAGGCATGAATTGTGCCACCTACTAGTTTTCAATGTGAAAAAACAATAAAATGTTTCGGGCTAAACTTAGGTGAAGGCGATCCTTTTTTACAACAAATACCTCTGTCATACTGTCAATGAGATTTTGGGCTAAGAGCATCTCTAGCGGCTCCTCAATGCCATCCCTCATTCCATAAAGCTATCATATTAGAGGAGATGCGGCAATGAGGACATGCGGTAAATTCATTGCTCCTGCAGCTTCCTAATAGCTCTCTTTTTTGTGGTCACAAAAAAATCCCCATCTCCCCTCATATTGTGGCAGAACCGTCCGAAACAACACGTTTTCAGAGGCGCTCGTCTTCCACTAGACACTGAGCACCTCGAAAGTGAGCTATATCGGATAGTTCCGTCGAGCACACCATAAGGGAGAACTTGAAACAATCCACGTTTTACATCCAGAATCCAATAATGAGTACGAGCTTACAATACTTAGTCTATTTTATACAACAAGAGTTCTTGAAAATTATTTATTACAATACCAGAGTTCAGAGTGCGATAATTAAACAGCGGAATGAAAATAAACATCTAGCGGAAACGATACAAGGATCCGTCTGTGTCCACTAGAAAAATCCTTCACACAAGAGCTACTCCTCAAGCTGCACCTGCAACAGGGGTAAAATAAACCCTGAGTACATAATGTACTCGCAAGACTTACCCGACTAGTGCAAATATTTTCTCGACTCTCAAGAATATGATAGGCAATATAGGTTTGTTGTTTTCTTTTTGTTTGCGAAAAACATTACTAATAGTTCATCCTTACAGTCAAGTTTTATTAGTAGCCATGATTACTTCATTAGCTAACCATTCTAGGTAAGCACATATTCTACTTTCAAGCAAAGGTTGAGCAATTAGAACCATTTTATCATCTTTTATCTTCCAGTTCTTACTATGGTGCTAGACCATAGCCAAGTTGTACCGTCTCACGGAAACGGCTATTCGTAAACCAATGTATCCCAGCTAGGTACTCCGAAACACACGTCCTGTTTGTACCCTAGGCACAAACACGACCAACCTATTCCACTCCAGTCATGGGGTCCAGCTCCCTGTTCAAACTTGGACTCCAAGCCCCTACACTTGAGACCCGATCTCAGTATGGTGCTTAGACCTCCACCTTTTCCTGCCTCCAATCAATCGGTCCGGAAAGAGCTAGAACCCACGACAAGAGCGTAACGAATATTTCCGCTCCCATAAGCAAGTATGTGCTTAGGATAATAAGTCTATGACCTAACTACCATCCACAGCAACGGATGGTCCATAATCGATACGAACAGGAAAAATAGTATAACCAAGCTAAGCCCCGTTGGCCGCGGGACACAACCTGTTACACCCACCAATAACCATACCGTATTCCTGTCCGGTCTCTATTTTCTTTTCATCATTTTATCATGAGAGTAAATATAATAATCACTTATTGTAAGTAACGGCAGGTTACTCACGCTATCGAAAACCTAAGCATAGCAGCTACTCGAACCTATACTAGAAAGACTCTTAGGACAAGTATATCTATGCATGTGGTTTCCATAAAATTCTTATAACATAAATGCACATAACATATATAAACAGTGATTATAAAAAAATAAGGGGTTATGCACCGGGGCTTGCCTTGTGCAGGCGCGGTATCAGCTGAGTCAGTCAGTGTAGGCTCTGGGACCTTCTCCTGCACGAGAATCTCCTCCTCGTACTCCTCGATGATCTCCTTGAACTCGCGATCACTAGTGGTTACGTTCTCTGCCAACTCATTCTTTACATGCATGCGATGATGATGCAACACTTAGCATTTAGGCAATAACAACTCTAAAACTAAGAATACGCATACTAAGCTACTAAACTAACTCTAATGACTAAGATGCTAATCTAACTATCATCTTTACCAAGCAAAGTATTGGGTTCAACTAACAAACACCTGGCTTTACAAATGAAGGATATATCTTTATTTGTACTAATGATTTAATATATATTGAAACAAAGAGCATTTAACTATCCTAATGCTTAGTCTACCCTAAGGCTACAAAAATTACAGTGAGCACGTAATAATACCATGAAGTTACTATAAAAATTTTAGGACCAAAGTTAGTACCAATTTACCACAAAAATTCCTACAATAATTACTCTAACAATATTAAACATTTTCAAATGATTTAATAGCTCCTAGTATCAACATGTACATATATGAACTAAATACACTAACAAATAGAGCACAATTTTAGGAACCTAACAAATTTGTTTCATAATTTTTGGACACCTACATGATTTTATATGATTTATCAAAGATCAGCTAAAAAATTAAATTAGAAAACTATTTCTAATTTCTTAGGAAAAGAAAAACGAAATCTCCCGCGCGGCCCGCGTGACACAGCGCGCGCGTGCAGCGGTCCACAGGCGCGGCCCACACGAGGCCGGCCCGCTCGCGAAACAGCCCGCGGCGGGGGAAATCCTGCGCGCACTGGTGTTTCTGCAAAATAGACCTCGCACTTCTCCCAAATTACAACTAAGTCCTAACGCTATTTCCCCTCTCTCAAACCTTCTTACTTAACCCCCTGGCATTTCCCTAATTCACCCATGCGCACACCCCGGCGTCTCATTGCACGGCGGCGAGACGACGATGACACGGCACGCCGTGCCGGCCACTAGAGGCTCGCGCTAGCCCGTTGGTCGGGCCAACCTTTAACTACGGTCCAACCGCCTACACCAAGCAGCAACGCGGACCGACGGAAAACGCTAGAGAGAGCTGCAGCGATGCGCGGCTGTCCACGACGACGGCACAACTGCCCCGGTGATCCAGAGCACCTAAGAGCCTAACTGGCTAGCGAGGGAGCATCAGTAGACTACCGTGGACCTAGCCGAGATGATGGTTGGGGTGGAGGATGGCGAAGGAGGACTGGCCACGTGCGGGCGAGCCGTGCGGCGGCGCACCGCGACGACACAGTCGCGTCAGCGATGATGGGGAGGCGGTAGTGGTTTGGCTAAGGCGCGCAGGATGAAGAGGGAGTCAAGGCGATGTTAGTGGTGTAGGTGAATTGGCTCGGGAGGGACGGTAGGAGGGCTGCCTACATCCATGGCCGGACGCGGCCTTATCGCCACGGCGGCGGGGAAACTCCAAATTGGAGCTTGGCCGTGCGCGCTTCATGGCTGGGTGGGGTCGGGTAGCGAGAGGACGTGATGGTGAAGCTGTGGATGCGATGAATTGAATGGAGGTGATCACTCGTTAGGTAATTTGATGGTGCAGCTCGACAGCGGCAGCGAAGAGAGAAAGAGAGAGAGACGGACCGATAGGTGGCACATCACGACCTTGCCTTGGTGGGACGTGCTCGGCGCGACCGGGAAGGCATGCGCACAAACGCAAAGGACAAGCGCACGTGTCCCCGACTGACCATGGCCTGCGCTGCGCAGCACCATAAATGGCAAGGTGACGGCGAGCTCGGCCACGTGCGCGCGGTAGTGGCAGCCTCTAGCTGAGCTAGCAGCAGCGCAGAGGATACAACGGACGGGCGCGGACACGACGATGATGTGATGGCGCCGGTAGTGGCTTCATCGTGGTGCGGGGCGGGTCGGCAGTGCGGCAACGCGGCAGGGCCGGCGGCAGCACCGCCTAGCTGTGCAAGCAGCAATAGCGGCTCCGCGCGCCACGAGCCAGCGGCGGCCAGGCCAGAGCAGCCGTGGCCGCCCATGAGCGGCAGCGCGCGTGCGCGCGGGACAGCCAGCGTGACGACACCGAGCGCCCGAGCGTGGTGACCGCGCCCACGTGGCCAACCAGCTCGAGATCGAGTCGTGCACGAATTTTAAAGCGACAAAAACAACTAAACGATTACTTCAGGAGCCAAACCATCTTCACTATACTCAAGATGACATGTGAGGCTATCAAACCGAGCTAACACATGACACCTTTTCTTAACCCGATTTCACAAAATAAATTGTCAAACAGGGCATTGTCTAACTGTCAACATAATTGAAAATATTCTAAGTCTTTTGAGCTGCACTTGATTCCAATTTACATTTCTAGGCTATTAGAAATGTTGGCTAGCAATGTTATTTTTCTTCAGCAAGTATTTCATTGTCATTTACAAAGTTCATATTCCAAACTTTATTTAAACGCCACATATATGTTCTATATCATTTTTTTAATAAAGATTAGTTTTAAACCCTACTTAATATACATGAGTTATTGAATCAACTTTCGTTTAACATTTTTATTAGTCATTTTAGGTTACAAGAAATTGATCTACACACTTTATCACATGTACTAACATATAAACATGATGCTCATGACATGTTTTAGTAAATGATTTAGGATGGGGAGTTTCATCTCCCCCAATAATGGCCCTATTTGGTACAGCTTATCTGGGAAGCGCTTCCCAGATAAGCTGCACAAATAGAGTAAAAGCGGCGGTCAAAATAAGCTGGTTTGATTCAGCTTTAGCTTTTTAATACAAATGGGAGCTGTGGGAATAAGTGTGGCTAAAATAAGCTGCTGAAAAGCGTGGTGTTTGGCTGTTGATTTCAGCTTATTTTGACCATAAGCAGCTTATAAGCTGTACCAACCAGGGTCAATATTGGGTCCACAACAAATGCCATCTTTTCCTCACATATCCTCTGTTCTGACATGTGGGTCCTATATATTAGGGAAAATTATTGGTGATCTACTGGAGTAGCTCTCCCAATATTTAAAAAAAGTACTATTGGTGATCATCAATACCATTCTATTGAGAATAAATTATTGGTAAGCAGCTCGTCAAAAAAAATATTGATGAGCTGCTAGAGATGCTATGAGCTAAGTCTATTGAGATTAGACTCGGCCTGTCAAATCGAGTGGGATCAGATTTGATTGGGTCAAAAAAAAAAGAACACAACTTTGATTTATTCGTGCCAAAATAGCACAAAGGCACAAGTGACTTTAAGAGACGTGCTGAAAACCTTGATGAAAAACCTTTGCACGTGCCTTACCGTTTGCTGTCAATTTTCAAGGACACTGATATGAAATCCTTTATTTTGCGGTACTTTAGTGGAGTGCTTTATGGGAATATAATGAAACGTGGACCCCACTTGTACCGTATCGGGAGGACGAAGTAGTGTATGACAAGATTAACAAAGTATATCTTAGATAACACTAGTCCTTCGGGCGCGCCCATGCGCGCGGGCCACTGGCCACACGTTTTTTTTTTGGAAAAAATATAATTAAAGTTGGCCTGTATGTTGGATTTGAGAAAAATCCGAGGAGGTTTTCGCAAAAAATGATGAGAGGGTTTGTGGAGCGCGGGTTGATTTTCGACAAAAATAAGGGGTTTTTTGAAAAAAAAAAAAACCTGGAGGCCATCCTTTCTGGACCGCGGGTTGATTTCAAAATAATTTGAGGTGTTTTTTGTAAAATATCCTGAGAGAGACTCCGGAGCGCGGGTTGATTTCCGGAAAAAAGAAGGGTTTTTAAAAAATGACCGCGGCTCGCCTGATCTGGGCCGTCCGCGCGGCCGATCGAACGGCCACGAAAAACAGACAACGTGGCACGCTGGGTGACCGGCTACTCTTTACGCTTTCTTGTCTTTAGATTTCCTTTTTGCTGTCTAAATCAAGCTGAGTAGCCATCCGCACATTTGCTTCTACACGGCAAAATAAAAGCATATTCCCTCCATTCCCTTTTATACGTGGTTCTCGCTTGCCCAAAAGTTAAACGTACTCTTAATTTTGACTAAATATATAGTAATATTAATATTTATGATACATAATTATTATTATTAGATAGATTGTTTGGTTATTTTTATAATAAGTTTATTTAAAGATATAAATATTACTAATATTTTTTATAAATCTAGTTAAATTTAAAAAAATTTGACAAGCATAAATATCGTAGTGATAGATAAAAAGGGACATAAGAAGTATGGTTCTAAACACTGCATAAAGGCATATTGTCTAGCACCAGATGTGCTAGTCCGGCCCAAACTTCTCTTCGCTTTTAGAAGGCAACTTCTGTTACTCAACTGCATGGATCCTCGCTTCGGCTAGTGGTTCATGTGTTGCTAATCTCTAAAGAATAGCCAGCCTGTTTGGCTAGTGCTGATACGATCGTAGATTATTATGGCTGGCTGGTTTGGTGTGAGAGAAAAATACTGTTCTAACTGAAAATTTACTTACGATCGTTTATGACCAAGCGAACAGGCCGGAGCATACATTTCTAAAATAAAAAAGATAATAATTACTACATAAAGCAAAAAATCACTTCTGATAATTAGAGCGTGAATGAGCGACTGTGTGTTATAGCGTAACAATTCAGCCAATCTTCAGCTAGAAAGCATGATTGATGGCCGTTTTAGATTCAAGGCGTGCTCTGAGAACGAGTGAAGGATCACCGATCAGGTATGTTGTTACTAGTACGCTGAAGCTAAACAAACAGATGAGATGAACGATGCGTGTCCACTGAGTTTTGAGTGCGCACTAAAGGTTCAGAGAAGGAAACCGTCTTGTGGTACAGTCATAGTCTCACTCTCACAGACTCACAGGCAAGCACATCTGAATTCTGAACTTAAAACGCTGCATCGTCTGATAGTCTCATTTCAGAAAAAGGTTAGAAGGACAAGGTACTGTCAGTCAGTCCTCACATAAACAGAAACACAAAACAATACAGCCATACAGGTTCATAAAAATCGTTAAGCATGAACAGCGCTTGCAGACATGATTAAGATCAACTAAATCTTTATATATAAACAAGAAGAGGGGGGTCTCCCATGTTTCTGAAACACAACTGCCACTACACTTTTAGTCTAACTGTATCCCTTCACCCGCTATAAAACAGGGGAGAAGTATTCAATACACACATGCAGACGAAATTACGGTTGGTGCCTCCGCAATGGCAACAAGAATTAATCTGGTCAATGCGGATAAACAGGGTTATGTACATAAATCCTTGTCTATCGATCGATCGGCTGCTTCCAGTTCACATGTCGAACCAGTCGTCGCCGTCTTCTTGGTTGAGGTGGTGCCTGTACCTGTCGAGATCCTCGTCGGTGAGGCCGTACTTGAGCCGCCAGTACTCCAGCCGCTCGTCGGCCTCCCTCATGCTGCGCATCACCATCTGCATGCATCCAGTGGATCGCGTCAGGTCAATCAGCAACAGGGGTGAAACATAAACGAATTTGTTTAGGAAAAAAAAAATGAAAGGTGGCAAGTTCTGCTCACCTGATACGCCACGTTAATCCTCTGGAATTGGACGCCGCTGTCGCCGTCGCTCTCGCTCTCCCTCTCCTTGCGAACGTCCGGATGGTACTGCACGAGCACGACGAAGAGGAAAGCAATCCGTGAGAGGGATCGACACGCCAGGGTGAAAGTGAAACGGTAAATCAGAATTACTGGTTACTGACGCAGTAAACTGTTATTGTGAATGTGGAACGGAACGGAAGAAATAGCGGTTAGGGGTTAGCTGGAAGAGGGGTTGCGCTTTGCGCACGCACCATGAGCGCGAGGCGGCGGAAGGCCTTCTTGACCTCGCCGCGGGTGGCGCCCGGGCGCAGCCGCAGCGTCCGGTAAGGGTTCTCCGCCAGCCCGCCGGAGGCGCCCGGCCCGGCCTCGCCAACGATGCTGCACCTGATGCTGGTCGCCGCGGCGGCGCCGCGCCGCGCCCCGCTCGTCGTCCTCGTCCTCCTCCCCCACGCCGCCTCAACCGACGACGACGCCACGCACACGCCTCCTCCGACGGCCATTCGAACGCAGCGCAGCGGCGAGCTTACGGGAAAGGGTTTCAACAGGAAGGAGCAGGAAGGGAATGGGTTTTTTCTCCCTTTGATTTGATTGATTGACGCACGGCGAGAGGAGCGAATGCGCTGGTGGGAGAGCTGCGGGAGGAGAAGTGCTTCCGGATTCGGATGTTGCGTGGGAGCCGCGCGTGGGGCAGGGTTATAAAGATAAAGATGGATAGAGGAAAGGACCGAAGGAGACGGTTGGGGCTATGGGGCAGCAACCTTTCGGCACGTTTGGATCACGGCGAGTAGGTAGGCAGCGGAGGAACCCCGGTGGTTTGGCGCACGTTCTGGGTCGGTCTCCGCAGGCGTGGCCGCGGGGCCGCGGCCGCTTGCGGCTGGGATCGACAGCGCGGCCGCACGCGTGGTCCTATCCCATCTTCGCGGTTTTTTCCGAGGACGTGGGAAACGAGGAAGCTTCTATCGCCGCTTGGAGAAGAGATGCGGCCAGGCCTCGGAAGATCCGGCCAATGCGTGGGTCGTGGTCGGCGGAATTGTCACGGGACGGGACGACGGGAATGTAGCGGACGTGAGCGACGCAGGGTCGCACGCAAGCAGCCCCGTCGTATCCCAATGGTCCGGGGTTGGTTAACGCGGCGGTAACTTGCCGTGGACGGATAGATCGCCTTGGCGGTTAAACCAAAGGCGACAAGGCCAACACCCCACTAGCGCGTGACCGTGATCGCCTCATCGCTGAGACGGTGACATGCTTTTTACTTTCTAATAGTAGTATCTCTTCTTTTTTTACATGCTTTTTTACTTTCTAATAGTAGTATTTTTAAAAAAAAAGTAGTATCTCTTCTAGACTTCTACAGATAGGACTACAGGAGCTCGGTACAGTCATGCGATCCAATGTCCTTGTCAGGCATCGTGGTCCCACCCAATCCCTTTCGGCATCCTCGATGGGGGAACGAAGATGTCCTATCCGCCGAGGAATTCTTTTGCTTGAGATTTTTCTTTTAGAAATTGAGCAGCTAGTTTGACGCGAGCACCGCGAAATTTCACCAGTTGTGCAAAGACACCGCGCAGATACTTTTCTCGCAATTAGAAATGTAGGTAGATTTTTTTACGGGACGCCTAGCGTTCGGACGTAGCTCGGGGCCATCCGATTTGAGGAACAGGAGCCGTCCGATCTCAACGTAAAAACAAAAGAATCAAGCGCACCTATCCCTCCTCCATGTAACGGAACACAAGGAGCGTGCGCCCGCGTGTACTCGCGGTTGTGGCGGCTCGTCCCCCGCCGCACCATCCCACGATGCGCCGCCAGCATCGAGAAGAAGGGGAGGGGGGCGGCGCCCGCCTGCGCCTCTAGTTTGGATGCCCAGCCGATGCCGAGAGAAGGTGGAGGCACCGAGGTGAGGCAGCCAAAGGCGACGAGAGAGTGAGATGCAACACCCGATCTACTTTTGAAACATTCAGATGCAACACTTGCAACATACGTCTCAAGACAGATGAAACACTAAAAACATGCATCTGAAACACTTGCAAAAACACCTCAAAATCATTGTAAAATATACACAACATCTAGATAAATCACTTGAAACATCAAAATAAACATACTTACAACATACGTCTAAAAACAGATAAAACATTAGGAACAAAAGCTTGGAACATACATGTACAAAATATTGCAACTATGCAACATCCCGATCTAATTTTGCAACATCCTTATGAAACGTTTGCAACATAACTATGAAATATTTGAAACATAGACTTGCACACACAAGCGGGGGATGGGTAGGCGGAGGGGGCGAGCGGAGGGGGCGGTGGGGACAGGCTGCCGGCGAGCTTTGGTCGGGATGTGGGCTGCCGCTGTCGCAGGCGAGAGGAGGGGAAGGCGAGGACAGGCTAGCAATGGCACAGGCCGCTGGCGGGCTCTGGCCGGGAGGAAGGGGCCGGCGGCAGGCACAGGCTCCTACCAGCAAGCTCTGGCTGGGCGGGGATGGGAAGAAGGGGCTAGCGGGAAGCTCTAGCCAAGCGGGGGACGGGAAGAAGGGGCCAGCGGTTGGCGCCGCAGGGGATGCGCAGGATGAAGGCGCCGCGAGGAGTACGTGGAACGAGTGGACGTTTTTTTTTTTTTTTTTGCGAGAGCGTCTCCAGACGGGAGCCATGGGACTGATGTCCTCATCAGATCAGATCATTGTCATTTTTTTATGGACGGGACACGTTTTCACATCCCATATCCCACGTAGATATGATTGAGCTTGTGCTCACAGCAGCAGAAACTTGAATTGCCGAACTTAAACGTCCATGAAAGTACATTCAAGTTTATTTGCTACAACATTCATTCAGTGGCAATTTGGAACGTGTAGCACGCCCAACGAACAAGACAACAGTGGCAACTTGTCCCCCTCAGGTTCAAGACAACAGTGGCAAGTTTATTTGCTACTATATTCTCTCTACACGCTGAGCTTGGCTGCGTCAAGAAAACCCAATCTTGCTGCACAGGCAACGCTGCTATCAAGGATCTCCTCCATCCCGTACTTGTACCTGAACCCCAGCTCTCCCAACCTGTCCCCCTCAGGTTGCACCCTTGCCACCACCGCCTCCGTCCTGACACCGATAGATTCATTCCATCACACACATAAGAGCATCAGACCAAACGATCTTGCCAGAGATCTCGTGCATATGCATGTAATGGTGCAAACAAAGGCTTTACGCTCTGAGGACGTCGAGGTGAGGGAACTTGTTGGCGTAGTGGTCCGTGATGTCGTGGATGCTCGGGTACGCGGCGGCGCAGAGGAAGCGGCCGGCGATGGAGGGGCGCCCATGCAGAAGAGGAGCGCGTCGCAGGCGTCGTCGACGTGCACCAGCGGCTCGGAGCCGAGCAGGCCCTGCACCAGCCGGAGGAACATGAAGGAGAACTCCTTCCGTGACACCGGCGACACGGCGTGCTCCAGCGTCTCCGGCACGTGGCCGAGGACCGTGTCGCCCGCGACCAGGCCCAGGGGCAGAGTCACCACCTCAAACGCCGGGCTTTCGCCATCGTTGTAGCGCAGGAGCTCCTGCTCCGACTGCAGCTTCGCCAGTATGTACTTCTGCGAATGGTTGTCACTTTTAATTTGCCCGTTTAATTGCAGATTTCGCTAAAAAAGATTAGCTCAAAATTAAAGAAATCATCGGTATCAGACTCGGTCAGTAGTTGCTCACATCGAAGTGTGCGCTGCGAAGATGGTAGTCAACGTCGAGCGGCGTCCAACATGATTCGCTGATGAAATCTTTGAACCCAGCGCCGGAGCCGTCGTCCTTGTCCTTGAGCGGCGAAGCGGCCGATATGGAGGCGGTGTGGATGACGCGCTTCACAGTCTTGGATTCCTCGCACTGCCGGAGGATCACGCGCACCGCGGCCACTGCAGCTTCCGCCGTGCTCTTGTACTGCCAGCCGCCGCACAGCACGCACGACAAATCAAGATCCTTTGATTCCTTCGCAGATCCAATTCGAATTTTTTTTGTTTGGAACGAAGGGGATCTAACGGAAGTGCGATACTTCACCTTGGAGCCGGCGGCTTCGAGCCCGTATGGCGTGGCGACGAGGAAGACGAACTGGCACCCAGCGATCGCCGGCGCGAAGGTGGCGGCGTCGAAGAGGTCGGCCTCGAACAACCGCAGCCGCTCCGCCGCGCCGGGGACCAACCGCCGCAGCAGCCCGGTCTTCTCCTCGTCCTCTGCGCGCGGTCACCAAAATGAATCAGGTCAGAGGGAGCGACGACGACCAAAACTAGGAAAGGAAGAAGGAGCTCGCGCACCGGTGTTCCGCAGCGTGGCGTGCACGGTGTATCCTCTCTCGAGGAGCTTCTTGACGAGCCAGGAGCCGATGAACCCGGCGCCACCGGTGACGCACACCCGCACTTCACTGCTGCTGTTCTTCATGCTCTGCTTTTCCGTTGCTGTCAAGCTTTGTTTCGGCTCCATGGAGTAGGGGATGTGCGGGACCTAATCACTTGCTGAGAATATAAGCCAGGACATGCAGAGTTGGAACATCCATTGACCTTTCCACGGTGTAGTCAAACCATATATGATTAAGTACAATAAGGCGATGTGAATTACAACATCATATCTAGTGAGCTGGGGCCCTCAAACTCACTCCAACAATTCTTGCATCACAGTATACAGAGCTCTGGGCGGCTCCGGCTCTAACTCTTCCGTGCGCTGTAACGAATAGTCGTTTTTCTCTCTCCTCTAAAAATGGAATAGAAGTAGGTGAAGCCACTATTCTTGATTTTACCAGCTCTAATTGCTCCACACATTGTAACAAGGACCAGAGCTATTTGGAGCCGTATACCACACAAAGCCTTAACATAACAAGGGTCCCGTTCGCTTCGCTAAAAAAACAAGCTGAAATATTGTTCCGACTGATTTGTTGTGAGAGAAAAACACCGTTCCGGCTGAAAAAACAAGCCGAAAAAGACGGATTATAAGATAAACGAACAGGGACAATAATGATGATGATGTTTCTAATAAACTTAATTTAATGCATCCAAAAAACACATTTTCATAAAACAAATTATGAATACTACCTTAAAAAATTCTAGCATCTGCGGATGCGAAAGCATTGATGCCAGCATCATTATTAATCCCATCTAATATTTTTTTTTCTTCTCAATGTCATGTTCGTGCTTCTTGGGCAACATGACGCCACTGAAATTTTAGAAAATAATTGGTATGTAATTTACCAAAATACACATTACTAGATTCAACATTAAAATCAAAAGAGTTAGTAAATTACGAGAACTTAAGCTAATGATTATTCACTAAATAGTCACATGCCACACTGCCCTAGCTGCACTCTATGGGATTCCCAAATCCCACATCAAAATTTCAGAAGAGTCTCAAGTCTTGTACTCAAAAGAATAAAAATTAAGGGCAAAGACAGATTAAACCGTGATTAAACATATATATAAATAAATAAGATTCCATATCTGTGGGAGTAGTGGCGCTCATTGAGCGCCTCTGCTGCTACCTACCAATGGCCATGTGACGCGTGGCTGCTGCGTTACGGCAACTGATCAATGCCTCACAATCGTAGCACTGTACAAACAAGAAAGAATTCGATCCCTTCCGTTGTCCCAGGAGGCAAGCAAACATGAGCGCTGCTACTCTCCCGACCCCGACCGACCAGGAGCCGCACGCAGTGTGCGTGCCGTTCCCGACGCAGGGCCACATCACGCCGATGCTGAAGCTGGCAAAGATCCTCCACGCCAGGGGCTTCCGCGTCACCTTCGTCAACACCGAGTACAACCACCGCCGCCTCGTCCGCTCCCGCGGCGCCGCCGCCGTCGCGGGCCTCACGGCGTTCCGCTTCGCCACCATCCCGGACGGCCTGCCGGAGTCCGACGCCGACGCCACGCAGGACCCGGCGACCATCAGCTACGCCACCAAGCACAACTGCCCGCCCCACCTGCGAAGCCTGCTCGCTGGGCTGGACGGCGTGACGTGCGTCGTGGCGGACAACCTGATGAGCTTCAGCGTGGACGCCGCGAGGGAGATGGGTGTGCCGTGCGCGCTCTTCTGGACGGCCAGCGCCTGCGGCTACATGGGCTACCGCAACTTCCGCCTCCTCATCGACAGGGGCATCATCCCCTTCAAAGGTATGCTCTGCTGCCTCTGGTCCTCTGCACCCCTATCCAATCCGTCGAAAGCGATGTGATTTTCCTTTTTGTGGCGCAGACGAAGAGCAGCTGACGAACGGGTTCATGGACACGCCGGTGGACTGGGCGCCCGGCATGAGCAAGCACATACGGCTCAAGGACTTCCCGACCTTCCTCCGCACCACGGACCCCAACGACGTGCTGATGAGCTTCCAGCTACAGGAGGTGGAACGCTCGGAGTACGCGTCCGCCGTCGTCATCAACACCTTCGACGAGCTGGAGCAGCCGGCGCTCGACGCCATGCGCGCCATCATCCCGGCCGTATACACCATCGGCCCGCTCGCTTCCGTCACGGAGCAGGTCGTCGTCCGCAGGGGCCCCTCGACGCGGTGAGCTGCAGCCTGTGGCGGGAGGACCAGTCCTGCCTCGCGTGGCTGGACGCCAGGAAGCCCCGCCGCGGTCGGTGGTGTACGTGAACTTCGGGAGCATTACGGTCATGAGCGGGCAGGAGCTGGCGGAGTTCGCGTCGGGGCTGGAGAGCAGCGGCCACGACTTCCTGTGGATCGTCCGGCCGGACGTCGTGAAGGGCGACACCTCCTCGGCGGCGGCGCTGCCCCCGGGGTTCCTGGAGGCGACCAAGGGCAGGGGCCTCCTGGCGAGCTGGTGCGACCAGGAGGCCGTGCTGCGGCACGAGGCAGTGGGCCTGTTCCTGACGCACAGCGGGTGGAACTCGACGCTGGAGAGCCTCGGCGCCGGGGTGCCGATGCTGTGCTGGCCATTCTTCGCGGAGCAGCAGACCAACTGCCGGTACAAGTGCGTCGAGTGGGGCGTGGCAATGGAGGTCGGCGACGACGTGCGGCGGGAGGCCGTGGAGGCGAGGATACGGGAGGCGATGGGTGGGGACAAGGGGAAGGAGATGGCGCGCAGGGCGGCGGAGTGGAAAGAGGCCGCCACAGGGTCGGCGGCGAGGTCGCTCGCGAACCTCGACAGGCTGATCAACGATGTGCTGCTCTCTCCGGCACTCAAAATGGCTTCAATGATGGATGGCCCTGATCAAAGTTTGGCGATGCTGAGCGATGGATGAACGATGATGACATCATCTACCGACTATCGAGAGTCTGGAATGGTCGTGTTTTTCTGCCCCCTTCGGCCCTGTTTGGGAGTTTTGTAAATTATTTCACCTGTAATCTACTTTCACCTGTAATTTCTTGTGCACAAGAAGACAACCGGAATATCATTCCCCTGTAAATTATTGTTCGGGTAAATTCTGAAACAACAATAGCAGCAAGAAAAATCAATCGAAGACCATTCTTCTGACCATGAGCAGTCAAGCACACAATTTCTACCTGACAGGCTGAAGGACGAACATCTGCGTAGGATTTTTGCAAGAAATATTCCACCAACTGAACTGAACTGCAAATAGAATAGCAAATCAGAACACTGCAAGCGGAGGAGCATACCGTGGAATATCTACCGATGTCACTGTGGGGATTGGACGCTGAGGTACCTGGATGTGCGTGCTAGCCTCTGCCCTGTGAGAGCTTGCCGTCGCCGGTGCTCGTTGCCCCAAGGTGGGCTGGCCGCACCTGAATCAGCCGCCCCCATCGCCTCCGTGAAAACTAGCTGCGACGTGCCCAAGGCAGAGAAGACAGGGGCAGGATACAGAGACGCGAAGCGGATCGAGCCAGGGGAGTGGGATGGCATGTAGGGATAGCCGGCATGTCAGGTTGACGGAGAAGATGAGCGACGCGGCGGAAGAGCGACGGAGAGACGAGCGACGCGGCGGAAGAGAACGCAGAGATAAGGACAGCGCGATCGGTCGAGCACGACATCCGTCGTATTTTTAATGCGGCCGATGGACAAGATTTTTATTTTCCGATCGGAAAGGCATAATACGGTTGTAAAATTATACCTGTTACCGTCCATCCAAGCAGACATTTTAGATCTAGATTGTAAAATTTTACAGACCTGTAATTTACACTGGTTTTAGGCTTAAAACCAGTCTTCCAAACAGCCCCTTCGTGACTTTTTTTTTCTTTGGGAATGCTCCCTTCGTGACTCTTGTGACCGTGTGATGTATGCGTTTGCAAGGAAGAAAAATTTCCCGTTTGGAAAGATAGCGCGTTCCCCTTTCGTCGCCTTGCACGGTAATTATACCATTTCCAAGAGCTCCTTAAAACAAGAGTTTAATTTGTTTTTCTTTAAGAAAACATGTCTCAAACATTATTTTTTAAGAAACAAGACTTTAAAAAATATAATTTTTTTAATAATGTCTAATGGACCTCTTTAAATTATTATTGTAGTTTGATTTATCTCTCCTGCATCTGATATGGGTGCCACGTCGGCTAAAACTACTTTTAAAACCATACAGAAGCAAACTTCGACAGTTTCAAAAACTAGAAAATATCAATAAATCGGTTACCGGACTTCGACGATAATTATACAAGATCAAGCGAACTTTTTCCTTTTAGCTCAGAACAACCCTGATTGGGCTGAGAGAATCGTGGCCTAGGGTGGACCGTTTGGTTGTTTGAGTTTGTTTTGTCTATATAGCGACGAATCCGTCTACATTTTAGTTTACATTACGTTTGTTGTAGTGGATTCAATACGTGCCATGTGATCTTAGCATTTCTTCATCCGTGAAATCTTGCATCCTACATCAGATTTATCCGCGCAAAATCTTAGACCGATCCTTTTTCAGTATGTTAAAATATTTTGGAACATTGTTCATATAGGTGCTGTGGTTATCTCCGTCTAGATCCGTATCTCATATGCTAGGGAATTGACTAAGAGGCAAAGGGATGGAGGATAGAACTTATTTTTCTAGGGATCTCAGATCTTATTTGCGCAATTTGATGTTTGCACAACAATCAAGTTTTTAAGGAAAAACAATATAGCTTCAGCTATGAAGGTGCCTCGGCAAAGTCCCTCCAAGAAAAACCGCACTATGAGAAACCGACACGGTTATCTGAATTTGGGATGTGTTGAACATATTATTTCAACGATCGTGCCAAGAAGGACCCAAGCATTCCCGGTTCCTAGTAGAAGAGTTTAACATTTTTTGTATGTGTTCATGGACTAGGTCATTATAACCGGGTTTATGTCTATCTATTAGGTGTAAAGGATAAACCATCTGTATCGATGCTATATCAATGCTATCACTACTTGGATTTCGCTAGATTTTAGATGATAATTAGACATGATTTTAGATTTGAATATCATTTTTGTATGGAGAAACTTATTCATGAGATTTTCTCGGTTTTGTGGTTCCAACATTGATCCGTGGTGGCTTTCTTATATTATTTAACTTTTGCTGATTTTTTTTTACGATTTGTATGAGGCATTGTTTTAAATTCTTTGATAGTGATAGGCAACAACACCAGGTAAACCAAATAGGCAAACAACAACTCTCGTGAGTCCTCAATTGGCTGCCAAACAGCCACAGGAAAACTCCCTCTGGATGGATATCCTCCCTGGGTGCTGGTGGTATTCAAAAGTCAAAAAAAAAAAAAATCACGCGCGTGGCTATCTTCCCTGGGCTCATTTGCCCCCGCTGCCAAAGTAGTCCTTAAAGTCCTGTTGTGCTGACAACAATTAGTAACCATTGAATTGAAACCCATCCTCCTTATTTCTAACTTTCAATTTAATAAAGTATTCACCCTCAATTTCTCCAATATAAAAATTAGCAGATTAACACCTAGAATTATGCCCCCGATCTACCTCTAGGAGGTTTAATATGCCATAAAAGGTAGTATTTTCTAGCACAAAGATTATTGGTGAGGGAAGTCTTAGAGCAATCTCTTCCCGGTTTCTGGAAGGCCTACAAAATATAAGTTCTTTTCTAAGACTAAATCTAATAAAACCTTAAAATTTCATTGAATCCAACCACTACAATTCAAAAAAAAAATCCTTTCATCTTTTGTTTCTATTGCTTTTATTCCTCTTCTTTTTCATGCTCGCCTTATTTTTATTTTTCTTCGAACTTGAATTTTTTTTGGCTGGATGTAGCCATAAGATCACTTAGATCCATGCTATCACCATCCGACAAACTCTCTACTAAATCCCCACAAATGTGGCTCAAAGCAGAACGATCGGGTCCATCAACGTTCTCTGCTTCATCATTTTTAGAACCTCAAAAAAAGGTTTGTACCATGTACTATCGAATTAGCTAAGGTGGGTCTTCATCTGATTACTTTCGATTACCCGATATTGGAAGCTAGGCTGAAGGGCTCGGTGGGTTGCCGGAGCCAAAGTCATCAAAACCGCAGCCACTCATCACCATATGCATGTAACTATAGTTGATTTCAACCTCAATTCCCGGGCCGAATTGCTAGCGATAGCCAGCAATCACTATAGTTGATTGAAAAAAGTCTACATAACCCCCTGAGGTATCTAGAGTGATTTACATAACCCTGAACTATAAAACTAGGTATTGTGGACATTAAACTTTGTGAAACTAGAAAAAAAAAACTAGGTATTGAGAGGTGGTTTTGCTGATTTGGCAATACACGTTTCCTGGCTTCAATTACGTGGCCTCCAGCCGGGAGAATCCGGAATAGATGGAAACTAAAGATAGTTTTGGATGAGTTTGTTTATGAAATAAGATTGAGTTTGTCCAGAAAAGATTGGTTTGTTAGGAAAGAAAAGCCAGTTTGCTTAGGAGTCAAGTCCTGTAGGGACTATAGATATAGGGGTCATGTAACCGTTTAGATCTTAAGCATTAAGCATGAATTGAACAGTTGCTCTCCTCTCAATCTCTCTCCCTCACTCCCGCGCCTCCTCCCCTCTCCTCACGTCCACCCCTGCCCTAGCTACCGCCCTCTCCTCCTACCCCCCCCCCCCCCACACACACACACACAAAAAAACAGGACCGTGATAGTAGGAGTCCTACTTCAAGTAGTATTCTACATTCAAACCTAGTAGAACTAGAAGTCTTATAGACACATATCCCTTGAGTCCTAGTCCAAGTATAATTTGAGTCACCATACTATAGGTCTTTATCTGTTTACTTCTGAATTTTTAATAGTATATTGTATTAATGATAGAACTAATCTTGGAAGCTAGCTGAAGGGCTCGGTGGGTCGCCGGAGCCAGTAGTCACTGTAGTTGATTTGAACGTACTGTCGAGTCGAATTGCTAGCCAGTAGCCACCAAGTAATCCATTTGGACGAATAGTCGATAGTCGTTGAATAGTCGATGCTATACTGATGTTTCAAGCCAACCCGAAGCCTAGTTAGAACAGCTAGCTGATCAAGTAGCTGGTTGCAGCAAGACAGCAAGTAGCTCAAATGGATAATTTTCTTCAGTTCTTCTGCACCAGACGGTTTACATAAATTCATATGAATTTTGCAAAGCAGGAAGCACAAATAGCACAACGAATCTCTTGATCCAGATCGACTTCTAGATGGGGAGCCTCAGCAGGAGGTCGTGATAGGCACGGGAGCAAAGAGCAGTGGTAGCTATAAAACGATCTTGTCAGTGGGCAGACATGGTGCCAGCAGCCGGCAGAGATGTGCACAGCAGCGTTGCTGCGGGTTAAGGCCACCGGGACCGGGAGCAGACTTGAGGGAGGCAGGGAAGCCTGGACAAGAACCAGACCACCGCTCGCCTGCATGCACTGGTTTTGCACGACCAAAACACAGAATCACTTGGTCTCGCACACACTCTGAGATCCACCTGCTCTGCTCACATAGCACATCTTTCTAAGCTCTGTACTGCTCCTTCCTCCCAAGCTTCACTGATTTTTATTATGGGACTCTCTAGCTAGGTCGGTACCACCATTGAGGACGTCCTACAAAGGCTGCCGAGCCGTCATAGCAGCCCTTCCTGCTTGGACTGATGATTGCACGCCGGCCCTCTGGAAAACCAGAGCTCGGTCATCGGATGATGGCATGATGCTCACGACTCAGCCAATCAGTTTGGACTTTGAAAATGCGCTTTCGTGCATAACAGTTTGTTTAGCTTGGAGGAACCATCAAGATGCTTTAGTTTCGTTTTCGTGTCAGTTTCAGCCTGATATTTTTCTTGTAGATTTACACAACGACTTCAGATCCCTGTTGGCTTCAAATAAGAAATACCTTGAATAATTGATTCGCACAGAAAAAAAAAGTAAAGAATATTGACCTGACTCGAAACTGGCATGGTCACTGATATCATCGATCGGGGCTCGAGATCTCAACGAATAAGAATAAATACTCCGGCAAGTCATAAAAGCATCTCCATGAGTTTTTAAGAACAATTTATCTCTAAGAGTTTTAAAAAACAATTAGTATTAGTAAATCAATGAGTTTTCCAGCTGACTAAGAAAAGTTGGGAGCACATTTATTAGTGTTTGATGGATTTTTGTCAAATTAAAATCCACGTGTACACGTGTATTTGTGTGTATCACCGAGCATTAAAAAAAAGGAAAATACATATACGGAGATTGTCACGTACATGCAAAGAAAGAAGCTAATAACAATTGTGTATGTCCGTGCGAGAGAAAGCTAACAGGTGCCGTCATATGCGTGCGCCTGTATACGTCCGGAACCAGCTGTAGAGCTCATATATACGCCGGTCTATGCCATGTATTCTTTGTGTAATTGTACCCCAACTGAGTCGGCGTGGCGCGGCGTGACTCGGTACGTGGTCTAGAATATTCTAGAACTCTCGGGTATATACGGCCGGCGAATACACGGGTTAACAGGCAGCGTTTGTCTACCGGTCGCAAGTTGCCGAATCGAATACATGTATATATTTCCGATTGTGCATGTTATGCGATGAACTCTGTCGAGCTACACTACAGCAGCAGACGCGTGCTTTGTCGAGTACAATTGTACTCAAAGAAGGCTTTGCACTCGACAAAGCCTTTCTCGAATGCTGCACTCGGCAAAGAGCTGTCGGCATATCCCTTCACGGCAAAGGCTTCTTGCCGAGTGCCGGAAAAAGCACTCGGCAAAGATTTACACTCGGCAAAATGAAAATGCGAAAAAACTAAAAAATAATAACAATTTAAAAAAAAATCGGGGGAGGCCGCCACCAGCCAGCGCCCGCCCATCTCCATCGAAGTCGCTGCATTTTTTGCGCTAAATTCGCGGCTAACGCGGCCGACGGGATTCAAACTCACGACCTCTCCCTCGCATGTCTGTTGCTCTACCACTGCACTACACTGTCACTTGTGTCTAGATTCCGTTATCTATCCTCGTATATTATACTAAACCAAGAGTAAATTACTTGTTTGAGGCTTTAAACGAATTCAAATCAAAAAGTGGTCAACTACAAAGTTTCATAACTTTTCGAGATCTACAATTTTTATTTAGGAAGTTTTTCCATCCGAGGTCGTTTGAACAATTCGAATTTCAAATTTGAGAGATTCAAACGTAATTTTGCATGATAAGATGATTTCAAAACAAAAAGTTGTCAACTACATAGTTTTATAACTTTTGAAGATCTACAATTTTCATTTAGGAAGTTTTTCCATCTGAGGTCTTTTGAAAAATTCAAATTTTAAAAATTTTAAATTCAAACGTCGTTTTTGCATGACAAGATGATTTCAAATCAAAATATTGCCAACTACAAAATTTTATAACTTCTCAAGATCTACAAAGTTTATTTTGGTCATTTGTTCATCCGACATAGTGGTAGTAACATTGTTCACAAATCTTATATATCTCTCTTCTACTTTCAGGAAACTAATATGAGAGATATGAGAGATGTAGATTTTATGAAAAACATTATTGTTGCTTTGTTAAATGAAGAAATGACCAAAATAAACTTTGTAGATCTTGAGAAGTTATACAACTTTGTAGCTGAAAAGTTTTTCATTTGAATTCATTTAGGGCCTCAAAAATTGCTTTGAAAAACTGATTTGCCGAGGGCTCAAAAAAATGCACACGGCAAAATGACTCTTTGCCGAGTGGCAAAACAAAGGCACTCGGCAAAATACATCTTTGTCGAGTGCCATAAAAAAGGCACTCGGCAAAGACGCATTTTGCCGTGTGCCAAAAAATAACACGCGGCAAAATACATCTTTGCCGAGTGCCAGAAAAAAGGCACTCGGCAAAGACGCATTTTGCCGTGTGCCAAAAAATAACACTCGGCAAAATACATCTTTGCCGAGTGCCAGAAAAAAGGCACTCGGCAAAGACGCATTTTGCCGTGTGCTGAAATATAGCACTCGGCAAAATACATCTTTGCCGAGTGAAAAAAAAGACACTCGACAAAGATGCATTTTGTCGATTGTTTTTTTTTTGTCGAGTGTATTTTATTTGGCACTCGACAAAGACCGTCTTTACCGAGTGTCCGATAAAATACACTCGGCAAAGCCTCCTGCACTCGACAAAGTGCTGGTTTCTGGTAGTGCTAGGTCCACATGTCATGGACCGCGTGAGAGGAGTGCTAATTGGGTTCGGTCTCAGATAGGGCGCTCACCGTGTACGCGGCCAGAAAATATCTCAACTAATTGGTAGAGCCTTCTAGAAACGTGATCGTGAGGGATAATTGACGCACGAGGATAGGTACGTGCCTTTCCTTCCGTGCGAACAAAGGAGCCGGCGGCTCCGGATATCTCTTGGCCGCTAACAAATTTTAGGCGGCGCGTGTACGACCGAGAGCGCCAGCTGCTACCCTAATTGCCTGCCTATATAAAGAGCATCGAGGTCTTCACGTACGCAAGGGGGAGTGACACTTTGCATCTGGAGAAGGAGGAGAGCAGCCAGCCCTTTCTTCTTCTCGTCGAGTCCACGGGTGGCCAGCCGAGGGCAACAGCGGGCCTTCTTCCCGTCGGAGTCCAGACGCACGTACGACGTCCGGCCGGCCGCACGAGAGTCCACCAGGCATCCACGTTCGAGTCGCGAGGACACCACAAGCAAGAGGAGATGGCGTTCATCTCTTCTGTGGGTAAGCATTAAATTAAATAAGTTTCATCTATCTTGCATCTTGTTAGTCTTGCACAAGCAGTCTGGCTTCGGTTGGCTTTCCGTGGAGCCGAGGACCGTCGGAGCAATGTCAAGATGAGCTTCAAGACGAAGCTACGGTGCGGCCGAGTCGATCTGCCGTCATGCGCATGGTGCAGCAGATACGCCGCATTGCGCGCGGTACTGCAGGAGTGCCGCGATGAAGGCGATCATCAGGCTGACACAAGGAGATCAGAGGTTGCGTCAGCGACGACGCGGCCGCCGTACGTAGCCTGAGTTTGTACCATGGTTCCTGGACGCGTACGTGATGACCCGGGGCCAACGTGCATGCATGGTGCACGCATCCGTGCCCAGTACACATGGCGAGGTCCAGTCTTCGTCATCTCCCACAAGTTCAAGCGGGCACGGGTCTTCATCCAAACTACTCGATTATTTTTTGATTGTTTGGGAATCAGGTGATCAAAACAATCGAAGTTTTAACTACTGCTGGCGTTTTCTATACCGCAGATTCCCACTCATGTTTTCTCCACCGTCAGTGATTTTGCGCTCGTTGCCTCTTAGCTCTGCCGCACCAGCCCCTATGCTCCTCGTTCACTTCCCCGCTACCACCACGCTAGGCTCGGCTCACGCTCCGGTCGCAGGTCGAAGGGGCCCTGCTCCCTGCTCCCTCAGTGCGCTCGCTCAGAAAAAAAGCAAGTTCGGAGCGGAACCTATCGACGATGGGGTGCTGAGGGAGGGAGCTGGGCAAGGAAGGACAAGGGCAATATTCTAGGGTGCTGGCCTCAGTGGCATGGGAGTCTCAAGGGGCTGAGAGAGTGGCTGAGAGATGACCAAGAAAGCCAAGGGCAATGGAGGTGATCTAAAGAAGATGGGCATATATATATGTCCTTTGGCACTCCAGATTACCATAAATGGTCGATTTTAATGAAGTTGACTTCCTAGGTATAAATTCTTTGGTGCATAAGGTTCGATTGTCTCAGCGGAGGCCGCGACATGGGATGTCTCCAGCTTTGTTTTGATTGTTACTTTATAGTGGAGATTAATTCTCTTAGAAAAAGAATGCACACTCATGCTCCGTGCTAGTTGGAACAGGTAAAATGCAGAACGCGAATCATATGCATTTCCAATTTATTCAGTTCCATGCTGAACAACGACAAATGGCAGATGACAGTACACTATTTGTTGCTGTCATTCTTGCACACTGAGCTTAGATGCATCGAGGATGCCCAATCTCACTGCGCAGTCGATGCTGCCGTCCAGTATATCTCCTCCATCCCGTACTTGTATCTGAACCCCAGCTCGCCCAGCTTGTCACTGTGCGCTTGCGCGCTCGGCGACACCTCCGTCCTGACACCAATTCACTCGAAAATTTTACGACAAATCATCTTGCCACATTGCTTGCCAGATTAAGAACAATTCAAGAAACAATCCATGGCCGTCCTTGGCAGGATGTTAGTGGGCAAACAAAGGCTCGCCCTTTGCGGATGTCGAGGTGTGGGTACTTGGCGGCGAAGTGCCCGACGACGTCGCCGAACGTCAGGTACGCGGCGGCACAGAGGAACCTGCCGGCCATGGCCGGCCGCTCCATGCAGAAGACGAGCGCGTCGCAGACGTCGTCCACGTGCGTCACCGGCACCGAGTCAGCCAGCGGCTGCAGCAGCCTCAGCGCCGCGAGGAGGCGCTCGTCACCGGTCACCGGCGACACGAGGCACTCCAGGGAGAACGTGGCGTGGCCCTGGAGCGCGTCGCCGGCCACGACGGAGCAGGGCACCGTGACCACCTCTAACGCCGGGCTCTCGACGGCGTTGTAGGCAAGCAGCTCCTTCTCCGACACCAGCTTCGACAGGACGTACTCCTGCAGGTGATGAGGTACAAACTTGTCATCGCCGTGGGTTACGACTTCAGAAATCGTCGATTTGGAGCAGGACTAAGAACCAGTTGCGCACGTCGAAATCTGCGTTCCGGAGAGGGTAATCGACGTCGAGCGGCGTCCAGCAGGATTCGTCGACGGCATCTTTGAACCCGGTGGAGTCCTCCTTGAGCGGCGAGCACGCCACAATGCTGCCGGTGTGGATCACGCGCTTCATCGTCCCGGAATCCTCGCACTGCCGGAGGATCACCCGCGCCGCGTCCAGAGCTGCCTCCGCCGTGCTCTTGTACTGCACGCGTGTGCCGTGTGCCGACCAAGCGCAAAAGAAGTTCTTTTAAAGAGCTCACTGATCTTCTTCATCGAAGGAGCATCCGGTAATTCGGGCTCGCTGTTCTCACCTTGGTGCTCGTGGCGTCGTGCTGCAGCGGCGTGGCGACGAGGAAGACTAACTGGCACCCGGCGATGGCCGGCGCAAACGTGGCCGCGTCATAGAGGTCGGCCTCGAACAGCACCAGACGCCCGGACTCCGCCGCGCCGGGGACTAGCCGCCGGAGCAGCCCCGACTTCTCCTCGTTCCCCTGCAATCAATTATGCAGTAATCCGTCACCGTAATACGCCAAAGCAGAGCATAGTATCAATTAGCACGAGGAGATTAATCAGTGGATCGATCTGCGCGCGTGAGTGCAAACCGATGTTCCGCAGCGTGGCGTGGACGGTGTATCCTCTCTCGAGGAGCTTCTTGACGAGCCAGGAGCCGATGAACCATTGCTGCTGCTGTTCTTGTTCGTCTTCTCCATTGCTGCCAAGCACAAGGTCGTAGCTGCCGACCTGACCACTTGCGGAGAAGATAAGCTACCAGACAACTTGAGTTGGCACATTTGACCTTTCACAGTAGGAAGTACAGTACAGATGAATAATCTATTGGACTTTTTGTTGTAGGGGTTTTGTTTTCTTGTTTTGGACTGAAATGTCTGGATCGTGTGGAAACTCGAAAGTGGCGAGAGACTTCGGGTGTGCAAGAGTGGACTGTTGACTGCCTGTTTCGAGTGGGCCTAGGCTAGTGCAGCCTGTCTGTCCGCCATGCCGGAGCCTGTAAGGCTGACGACCCATCACCATCTCGGCCCAAACTGATAAGCCCAACATGTATTCGGTCGAACAGATCAGGTCAGGTCAGGTGGCAGATCAGGCCCAACCTGAATGCGTTTCGGGACCTGGTCAGGTCATGCCCGATGAGATCGACGTGTACCGGCCTCCGACTTCGCAGAGCCTCCATTGCGACACGTGGGGCGTGGCGCCGACACGTGGGAGGCGCCAGGAGCTTCGGCATCGGCCGCCGTACTATAGCCTGTGGCGCTCTCAAGAAAGCACGCACGCACACGTTACCACGCCGGCCAGCCAAGGCACATCTTTTATTATCAGCGTCATCACGTCTCGACTCTAGAGACAGCCAAGGCACACAATCGCGTTCGGGTGATCTGTTACCTGCTCCGCACGCCGCTCCCGCGTCGAAAGAGGGAGAGCCTCGTCGGGGATGGAGGAGAACGGCGGCGGGAGGAAGCAGGAGACGACGGCGGCGGCGTCCAAGGCGCATCGGGAGGCCGCGGCGGCCGGCATCTCCGTGCACGAGTGGCTGCAGCACGTCAAGGCCTCCTTCCTCGGCCTGGTATGCAAGTCTCGCTCGCTCTGTGCTGTGTGCTGAACTGGTGATACCGATCGATACGGGGACAACAAACCGCGTGACGGTCGGGGGCTTAGGATATGAATTTATCATTTGTGATTTGGCTTCGTTGCGCCGTGCGTGCGTTTTCAGGTGGGCAAGGTGACGGCGAGGAGCGAGCAGGAGGCGGCGGAGGCGGACATGCGCGCCACCATGGCGCAGGTGGAGGCCACCGACGAGGCGGAGGCCAAGAAGAAGCAGCTCGCACATGGATGACCAATGACCAGCACAGCAGATTCAACAGAAAACTAGTAGTAGCTCGCTATCTAATCTGCTTCCTTGACGCTGTATTGTAACCTGGTGTAGCTCAACCCAAACTGTGCTGCCTGTGTAGCATGTCCTCGTGTAGTGGCGACAGATTCTGGATTTGCTGGCAGTCTGTTTGGACTGACCCATCTACCACTATATGATTGTAACAGAAAACCGGTTATTCAGTACTTGGTGAGCAGCATCTAATTACTGTACAGTTATGTATCCACAAGCACACAACCTGTACTCAGATCTGAAAATCTTGAGGCAGCGAGCGCCATGCCTAAGTCTTAGCACGCAAGAGATGCATGTAACGTAACCACAAGCTAACAAGTTTACATCACCCTGCACACCCGCAGCAGGGGATCCGCAACCATACAAGCGTCAGACCTGAAAACTACACAAGCAGAAACACCCCTCCCCAACATAAATACACATGGATGGATTCTAAAATCCATCACAAGTAGCCAACCTGCTTAGACATTGCCCCTGAGAAAATCGTTAGATCCACATGATACTGAAACTCGGGCATTGTAATCGCATAATGCTATTGTGAACCAAAGAAGAACACTGATGCAACGTGCTATTCCTCCTTCCGCGCAGGTTCTGTGGAATCAGCTGGCTGCATCTGTGGTTTCATCATTATGTCTTTCCTCAGCTGGGATGTCAATAGAACTATTTTCATTTACTTCCCGAATCCCGAGCCATTTCTTTGGTCTTGGTTTCTGATGCACTTTCAACAGAAATTTCATATTTGTCTTCTTTCTTGACTTCTGATGGACTTTGGACAGAAATTTCTTATTTATCTTCTTTCTTGACTTCTGATGGACTTTTGACAGAAAATTCTTATTTGCCTTATTTCTTGATTTCTGATGGAATTTCAACAGAAAGTTCTTATTTACATCCATGGCCGCGTCCACGTCAGTGCCTTCCTGCTTGGTTCCCCCAGCACAATTTCCGTTAACTTCGCTAGTAGTGTCAGTGTCTTCCTTCTTGATTTCCACAGGAATTACATTGTGACTATTTGCATCTACTTCTTCGGCCATGTCAGTGGTTTCCTTCATTTCCATAGGAATTTCGAAAGAACCATCTCCACTGAATTCACTGGTCATGTATGTGTCTTCCTCCTTATGTTCCTCTGGAATTCCAGTAGAGCCGTTTTCAGTTACCTTTCTCTCAGTCTCCCATGTAGCAGCTGAATCTTCCTTAACTTCCTTGTTCATTCTCACAGCTTTTATTGACGTCCAAACTTTATTCAATAAACTGTGCTTCTTGCCCCGCAGATGGTCAGCCATGGCAGCGGCGTTGGTACAACTGACCCTGCAGCGCTCACACCATACATAGTTGCTTTTTTGAACAACCTGATGCATCTCTCCATCGACCAGGATGTGGATTTTCTTAGGTGCATCATTTGGGCCTGCACCATTGTTGTTCCCAGTAGTTACTTGCAAACCACTTTTATTAGTATCGTTCACCTTGATCGCTCCACATTGAACCAGCTTTGCCTTGTGCTTTTTCCCTTCAAGATGCTGATTCAGACCAGCCTCACTGGTTGCACTCACTTGACAGAGTGCACAGCTCCAGTCCCTGGCAGCAGTTTGTAGTTTTGTTGGTTTAGTAGTTGCAGAACTCGCATCTGCCTTCCTCTTCACACCAGAAACCTTCATTTCTGATGAAAGAACCTAAAAAATTTAGGAAGAATTAGTGAAATCGAGGTGCATTGTGCATATGTAGCAAACCAAATGTAGAACTCACTGGAGCCTGATTGAATTATGTGACACCAACTAAAGGAATGCATGGCAGCATGGGCACAAAACAATCAACAGAAAGATGCATCAGCAACCAATGAAAAGGCAGGAAAAAAAGATTAAGGTGACAAGGAAACTATTGCATAATTAAGAAACTGAAATCCACAGGGAATAAATTTCTGTGTCATCTTAATCTGACCCTTCCTGATTCGGTGCTAACAATTTTATAGTTCTCAACTTAAAACAAACGGTGGTCACAGGAATCAAAGCTTGTTCACTTCTATCACTACCATTCTTTTTCTCTCCAAAGGGAATATTCGATCTTCTCTAGTTCTCCATACAAGTTCACCAGATCTGTCGAAATGGTAATATTTGACTTCAGAGTTCAAGTACTCTTCTAATCTAAGGGCAGTGTTCTTTCTAGATTGTCCTTACTTACAGAAAATGGCTACCATTGGCACTTAAATGACGAGAAAAGCAAGTGCGTCACGTTTTTGAAGCGAGAATAACACCGAAGTGCAATAAGAAATTGAAAAAGAAAAATTTCAAAAGTTGTAATCCAGTAGCGCCTTTAACGCCAAATGCGGAAAAGAATCTGAACATGCGTCATGCATGCGCACTATGAACGGCTAGTGTGCTCCCAAACCTGAGAGCTCTCGCTGGGCGCGATCTCGCGCAACTGGAGCTGATGCCTCGGCTTCGGAGGCGGAAGGGGCCTCGTTCTCGCCTCATTGGGGAGCATCGGTTGCCCAAATCCCGGGAGCCGCCGAGGGCCGAACCCCTCCCACGACCCGAACAAAGCCGGTGGCGGGCAGTTCGGATGCATGCCCACCGGCATCTGGGGCAGCGGCATTGGCGGCATGAATGGGCCATCGGGCATGAAGAACGGGCCTGGGGGTGGTGGCGGCACGATGGTGGGGCCGTCGGGCCCGACGAACGGGACGGCGCCGGAACCGCCGTGGAAGCGGGCGAGCTCGCGGCGGATCTCCTCCTCGATGAGCCGCCGCTCCACCTCCTCGCGGATGATCCGCTCCCGCCGCGCCGCGGCCTCCCGCTCGAACGGCGAGGGCGGCGGCGGCTCGCCATGGAAGGGCCCGGCTGCGCGGGAGCGGGGACTTTCAGAGGCTGGAAGTCTGCGGTCTCGATCGATCTCTGGATGGTAGGGCGCTTACCTTGCGGTGGTGTGAAGCGTCGGTCGGGGCCGGGGCAAGGGCGGCGCGGCCTGCGGTCGCCGGCGCGGAAGCCGAACTCCATGGCACCGGAGGACTGCCTCTGGGATGGATGGAATGGATCGGTGCGTGGCGTGCGGCTTTTCGAGCGGCGCTGCACCTGCACAGCCTACTCTAGCCGGCATCCGCTAGTGCCTAGTGCAGTGTGCTGTCCTGCCGCAGAGGCGGGCGCAGGCTTCGTCTTGGGAGTGATGAGTGGGTGGAACCGTGGTGCAAAAGACGAAAGACGATTGCATCGCTCGGGACCCCGTGGCTCTAGCGCGTTTTGGCAAATTCCCCGGGATAATCGGCAGCGCTTCAAAACGTGACGCACTTGCTTGGATTGATGCCTCCCAGGCAAGCTCGCGCCCAGGCAGCCATCCTAGCCCCATGCGCTCGAAATCGGACGCCTGGGAGCCGCACTTGCGCCAGGCAAGATTCCCAGGAACTAATCCAAACAGGATGGTGCAGATCTGGGCATCTAGCAGAATGTTCAGGTGTAACTGCAGATCGTCATGCAGGTGTCCAACTAGGACTACATCACACTCTCTCCAAAGCTTCAAAGAGGAAAGGGGACCAATTGTCATGCTGCTACAAGAGACCCGCTTGACCGGACAAGAACTATTGTAACATCATTTCCACCCAAATGTACAATTAGGTGTTGTCAGATGACCAAAAATCACAACCGGAAGAAAACAGCAGGTTGGGTTACAGACAACAATGGAACAAAGAATATATCCTTTACGCCAATTCAGCACACGGTTGTATGTACATCGCAACATCGTTATCGTGCTCCTGTTTCAGACAGGTCCAGCATCAGGCCATGTACCAAGACTCCAAGAGCCCTTCGCTATACCTGCTTATCAGAGCCGTTCTCCTCGGCCCCACTGATCATAAAAGGCTTGGTTAGCGTCCGAGGAAGAAAGAAAGATCGGTAGTGAAGAAAAACAACAGCCGTTAACATAATCAGAGGTAAACATAATCAGAGGTGACTCACTGGGTCTCAGAGCATCCTGCGTCTCCAGCTGGTTGTTCTGCACCACTGGCGTCCTTGACCTGAGCAATCGGCTTCTTGAACTGCACCAGGATCATCGTCATATTATCACACCCCTCGCCGCCCATGGTTGATGGAGCCAGGCATCTATCAAGCACTCTTTCACATACTGCAGACAGGCTTTCCTCCTGCACTTTGTAACTTCTTTCCATGAGTATTGCCAAAGAGCAAGACATACCAAAATAGTTTTACGTTTTTTGGAAAGGAAGATAGTGTTAAATAACTTGGTACTTACTGTGTTTATATGCTCACGGATGAAATCAACCAACTGCTGGCTTGACATGCAGTCCCTGATAGCCCAGAGGATATGGTTGTTACTTCTGACAAAAGCAATAATCAAGTTGAAGCCAGAAACTTGTTACTAGAGAGAAATTTACCAAATGCCATCACATGCTAAAACGATGAATTCGTCGTCATCACATAGCTCGATCTGTACAAAAGAATAAAGTTACAATAACTATCAACAAGAAGGAAACGCTAACTTAATAGTCCACATAGCAAGAGAGGCAACTGCAGAATTTACTCACAATGTTTATGTCGGGGTTTGCGGTCAAAATTTGCTTATCAGGGGACAAGAACTTGTTTTGTTTAAACTCCATGTCTCCTAGAAAGGTATTTTGCATATGCAAGACATCAGGTAAGGTAAGGTGAGAAGTATGAACAAAAAGAAGCAAGTAAAAAAAGAATACCAATAGCTCTTGACAAGTTTAAAGTTCCATTTACACGCCCCATTTGAATGTAACCCCCTGCACTTTGTATCCTTTCTCTCTCTGCCTCAAGCTCTGGTTTATGGTCTCTTGACAAATTGTATGCCTGTGTTATGTGGAAGAAGTATAGAAATGAGACGATCACACATAAACTTTATGTCCAAATATACCACAGTCTTTGCACTTTGTTCACTTTAATTAATGCAATTACCAGTAGGGGGTAACCCCTCCTGTCTTCCTGAAAAAGGAGTAACAACTGACCTGGCCATTCCTTGAGATGACACAGCGGGAGTCACCAGCATTTGCCACAACGAGTTGCCTATTTCTGACTAATGCTACACAGGCTGTACTCCCACAATTTGGCCCAGAAAAATCAGAGTGCGGTCCCTGATAAAAGAAATTTGTATAAGACTACCTGGGTGGATGGAATGTTCATTTCCAACAAAAGAACTAGCAACAAAGAGAAATGCCAAAAATTGCCCTCCAGCATAACAAGAAGAGGCTCCAGTTCAGGAAATTGGAAGTCATTCTTCAAGAGTTACCATTGTTAGGCAACACAGCCATCAATTTTAGGTGCTACTCCCTCCATTCCAAATTATAAGGCGTTTTGGCTTTTCTAAATACGTAGCTTTTGCTACGTACTTAGATATACACTATGTCTAGATACATAACAAAAGCAATGTATCTAGAAAGCCAAAATGTCTTATAGTTTGGAACGGAGGGAGTACAAGAATAAACTTCCTTCTTATGCATAGATATCCTTTTCAAGAGTTAACATTGTTAGGCAACACAGGTATCAATTTTAAATGTTAAAAGAACAAATTTCCTTCTTACACATACCCTTTTATGTCTTAAACCATCAGTGTTGCACGTCTACTCAAGAACCACAAGTCTACTCTTACACAAGTTTCTGCCATGAATGATTTTAGCAAAAAAAAAAATAAAGGAGAAGAAAGAAACTTTATTAATAATAATCCAGTGATGCAACACTTTCAGAAAGAAATCCAATGACTGTGCCAAATTAATTGGAAAAAAAGGCAGATGGCAAGCTCTCCTAGACATAGGACAATGAGTATAGAATTATGGATCCATGCCAGTTCCACATTTACCTCCTCGAAAGCCCAATCATCATGTCTATCATTTGAACCACTTGCTTTAGGGGACCAAATCAAGCCTTCTATTATGCCAGTAAACTGATTTATCTTATCTCCAAGTGCTTGGAGTTCCCGCCATCCTCTTTGACCCCGCATCATTTCATCCATTCTGAAACAACGCAATCATAATTTCTGTTCACATCATTTGCTCCAAATTAGCAATGAAGTAGTGAAAAGGTAGACATGCTAAAAATAAAAGAAGCTATTATACCTGAAGTAAGCTCCGTGGACAGCAGCACCCAGGTCACCAGCTGCATAGGCTTCACTATGGAGAACTTCTCTGTGTAGATATTTTGCACAGAATTTGGCAACTACTTTTCCTGAGGCAAGAAAGCAATAAGAAGGGGTCAACAGCCCATTTTGGTATGATGTGGAATCAATCATAAATGCTGAAAAGGCACTGTTCTTTGCAGTTAGTTACCTCCATGTCCATCAAAAACACCAAAGAATGCAGTGTCATTGTCAAGATCTAGCAAAGCCGAGTGCTGGAAAATTGCACAATAGACTGAGCAAACACGATCATAATAAACTAATAAAATTGACAAGATTCCATCCTCTCAAAAGATACAGATAAATCATATCAAGAAGTCTATTAGTACTATGTAAGAAAACAAGTCACAGCTTCTCCTTTAGTAGTTACACATTATACTCAACAAGATATCTCATACACATTCAAATTCTATCCTCTCAATTGATTCCAGCCTTCAAGGTTGGAGTATAGCCCATCTTTCAGTATGATGTCAGACACACTGTTTAACTTATGAAGCATTATCAATCCAACATCTGGAGAATATGGTGATGTAAACAAAAAAAGTGCTAATCCATTTTTTGTCACTCTCAACAACAGGACAGGGTATCATGGACAGAAACAAAAACTTCCCATTCAACTCATGAATTAACCAGGCTCAGTTCAGCACATAATTTATTTTTACACGCAAGTATTCATTTTATTTCAAAAATTTAACGAACACAAGACACCACTTCTCTCAGGTGCATAGCACTGCTAAACATTGCAGTCAATAGCCAGGTATATCCTCCTAAGCTATTTATTTAATAATATATGTGGTTGTCCACCAGTTCCCTTCACTATATTCAAAGATAGCAATACTATTTGTGAAAAGACTTTGCGCCAATATTTGATATTTATTTTTTCTTTACTTCCTAGGACATTCTGTGAGTTTCCATAATTACACCCAACTTGGACACTGAGAGCACATTTATATTAAAGTTGGATTCCAAGTTATATTTGCAAAATCGAGTAAAATCATGCTGAGTTGGATACCCGAGTCTGAATCGGATTCCATCACTTGTGTGTCTATCCAGGTAAAACGTACAAGACTAGGAACAAGCGACAAAGAAAATCACAACAAGCAAATTTAAATGATGAATAGAAACTTACAGCATCTTCCATAGTTGCGCGCCACCCTTGCATAGATGAAAGTCCGAATTTAAGTTTATCATTTTCCCCATCTTCGGATACCTTCTCAGTTTTCGGAGTGCTAAGGTAAACCCCCATTCTTCCAAATGTACCTGGCGACATAATATGACAGAGAGAGAAAGATCTGCTGCTCAATAACAAGCTATCGATATTAATTTCAGAAGTAAATCATGAAACAATTTAATCGTGCCACAAGTATACATCATCAGACTATAAAGTGCAATCTTCAGCGACCCCCGCATCAATTGTACACCGGATAACAAAAAAAAAATCCCAAAAATAGAAAATTGAAGTTAGTAGGCATAATACATGCGTACACTTGTAATTGTGCCAGATCCGAATACAGCTAGCTTGCTTTAGGGTTTGGGTGCTCGGCTTCGAACGGCAGGAAGGACGAGAAGGGGCGAGCATACCTGCTGGGCGCCAGTCGACGGCGAAGGGGAAGGGGACGTCGAGACCTGGCAAAGGTAGGCGCTAGTCGCCGACGAAGACCTGGCAAAGGGCGCCGGCGCTCACCCGCTCCGTCGTCAGCAGGAAATGAAGCCAGAGAGGTGTGAACGCACGACGCCAGAAAGGTAACCGAGAACGACTGAACGGAACGAAGGAAGGAGCGGACAGCGGAGGGGTGAACACGACAGGCAGCGGGCCCTTTTTTTTAATATAGAACAATTATTATTGAATATATTTTTTTTCCATATCAATTAGGAGTACCTTGACTAGGCGGGATTTGAAAATCGTTAAACCGTATACTCGTACAGTCGTACATTAGTAAAACGATTTTTGAAAAGCGTCTACTCGTTAGACGACAATCGATTTCATTCAATCCAACCGAAAGTCGATACATCTGGTGTCGTTTATAGAACGCTTTATCATAAATGATTATAAATTTCATCCGAACAATGATTTTTTTCTCACATAAACCAAGGGTCCATTGATTTCTTCACAAACCAAAGAACGAAATGAACCAATCAACTGAACAGGCTGATAGAACGTTCACAAAAAAAAAAAATTTACCCCAACAACGGTTTCACCCGTAGAAAGCAGGGTCCATTTGGTTTATGTCCCAAACCTGCGAAACCTACGTGGTTTATGTCCCAGACTTACCAAATCAGAAGTCTGGTGTGGCACACTCACTTCAACCACCGTTTGCTTCTTGATGTATCTCCAGTGTGTCGCACTTCTATACACTTGGGCTATTGTGCTCAACGATAACTTTTGATACCAGGTGTTGGGCGAGCAAAATCGAAACCTGACTTTTGGCGTGGTTAGAGTTCAGTTACGACGGCTTCTGTCACAAGCCAAATAGACTCGTAATCTTTTAAGTCATTTCGAAAGAGCCAAAACAGCCTGGACCACTCACCTCGGGCGCCCCTTTCCTCTGTCCACGGATGGGACGGTCTTGGTGAGGCCGGGCGACGCGGTGGAACCGGCTTGCTCCCCAACAAGTGGGGAGGCGTAGCGGTGCGATGTGGTGGGGCGTTGCGCTGAGCAAGTGCGTCAGCAGTTTTGGAGTAGGTATATATACTACTTGTTATATTGCTTAATTTTTTTTTACATGGATAATGACTTCGCTAGAAAAAAAAACTAGAATAATGTTGGGTTAGAATCGATGAGGATAGAGTTAGGTTTAATTTTGTACACAACATTATAGGTACATTGGTTAATTGATTAGAAAATTGGTGTATTGATTATAGATTTAATGGACTCTATCCGGTAGGTTAATTGATTATTATAATTTAATGGACTAGAAATTTGGTGTTGGTTAGATGGTGATTTATCCAAGTTTGCAACGGTGTCATTGGAAAATCAATGGCGATTAATGGAATGCTTGTGATTTTTTATGGACCCGGTAAAATTATACATGGTCACCCAAACCTCCTCCGTTTGTGGAATGACTTCTTGCTCACAAGTGAATAGCGTTTCAAATTAAAATTTAAATTTGAGCCTGTACTTCATTACAAAACGTTGGGTTTCACTTGAATACATATCCCGGAATATGATATCTTAAAATACTAAAAAAATTCTAGGTTTTAGAGGCCATTTTAGGCTAAACAGCTTAACCAAAAAAAACTCAAATATGGCATTAGGAGAAGAATTTTAAGTTCAAAACTCCAAGAGTTATGATGCTAGACAAGCACTTAATTTTGAAGTTTTTTGGTGATCCATTGGTTCTTGTTTTGGATCGAGGATAAATTGGTGTGCCACATCTGATGGCATATGTTCAAAGTGTTTGCGGTACACATAGTCACGTCAATTCATATGACGCTATTGTATTTATCTCTCACCATGCCCCTAAGCATAACGAAAAGGACTTTTTTGCGACCGTGTCGTATTATGTTTTTCATTAAGAGGGAAAAGTGTTAACAAGCTACAACCCCATTGTCGGTAATGAGGATTACCGAACAACTGGGAACATTACATTAGTTTTTAGATTAAAATAAAAAAACTCCAGCTTGGATCAAAACAATGCGTAACGGGTATATCACGGTATTTTCCAAAGAAATCGTGTGTGCAAATCACCTGTCCCTCTTTTTATCAATTTGCGCTGTATGCTCATTTTCTACTTTTCCTCTTTTTCTTTCTATATGTACACATAAATAAGGACCAAACCATTTGTAAAGGAGAAAATCAGCCATGAAAACAACCAGCCGATTCATTTCAACTTTTCTTTCAAGAAAATGAGTGGATAGTGTAAGGCGATGACGCCGTCCGTCAGCTTCAATGGTTTTTTTTTCCAACTAGGAAGGTTGATTTGTTTTGCAGAATTCTGCATTTGACGATACCGGGAAGACGGAGGCAGCTGCTGCAGGTGGAGAGCACTGCTGCATCTCCGACGGAAAATAAATCGACAACGCACTTAGAGAGAGAGTGTTGAGGACTCCTCCGCTCATGTTTTTTTTAGTTCCGCTCCATCAACTCCATCATATAGTGGCTTCACTGTAGAGTTTGTAGAGCATATGGTACTATTTGTATACAGCCTAGCTCGAGCTCAAGGAATGGATTATTTTCATGTAAATAGTTTATTATATCCCTGATTATGTTTGTTCATTTAAGTAGTACTCACAAAACAGATATGTTAGTTAAATAGTTCCATCATTCGAATATAAAAGCACACACCATCAGCCAAAAGCACAGTGTTGCACCTACTGCACACTAGCACATCAGAGCTCCAGAAGAACGTCGTGCATAGCTGCACGATTGCACGTGGCCTCCAACGGGACGGGCCCTGGGCATGGCCACCCGCGGTCATGTCAATCTCGAGGCTATCGACTCTATCCCGGTCATGCAAGGGCACGGGAAGAGCTGCGTTGGGCCGAGAAGGAAGGGCCGCGTACGGAAAACGAACCGAAACAGTTATTAATGAACGGCAAGTGGGTAATTATCTCCTAACTCTATATGGAGATATAAAACTCTAAAAAATTAGAGTACAGGTACTCTAGAGAAAACGTGAAATTATCTGTTAGCTCCACTTTTTGCTTGGAACGGAGTGCTAAGAATGTTTGACAACGTAGACCTAGTGTAGTGTAGAGCTGTAAAAATAGGAGCAGAAGAGTTCTAAACACCCTAGTTAAATTATGGTCCGAAATATATTTAATTATGAATTATACTATGAATCGTCGTACCTTGACGTCACATCGAGCCGACTGCTTTTGTAGTTGGTGAGGCTGCCTTTTCACCTGGCATTAAGAACAACATTTTTAATATACACTACGCCTCCCATGATTTTTAGGGGGCTCAAGACTCTTTATAGAAACAATTTAACCAGCCGTTCGATCAAACCATTGCTACAAATAGTCAATTTATAGGAGTGGTTAGCCAAACGGCTGCGGACTACAAATCCATTTTTTCAAAAATCATGAAATCAAGCAAAAAAAAAATAGCAAATTTTTTTTTAATCTAGGAGAGATATGAACTATAAGAGAGATATGTAAAATTTGTAAATAATATTACTACCACTTTGTCGGATAAATAAATGATCAAAATAAAATTTGTAGATCTTGATCAGTTCTATAACTTTTATGTTCATGACTTTTTCAGCTGAAATCATTTAATAATTCAAAATGATATTTGAAGTTGTCATTTTTTGAAATTCAAATTTTAATTGATAAAACACAGTCACATAAAAAGATGACCAAAATAATAGCCGTAAGAACATAATAAATTGATAGAGCATGATTGTCGGATACCATAAAAAGGGTACCCTAAGCAAGAACCGAAAAAATTGCTTAGACCTTATAAATAACGAAACCAAAATACAACCGCAGGCAAACCCGCCACATCCGAGGCCCGGCTGGACCGCCCGGCCCACCTCGAACAAATATCCGGGCTCGACCGAGGCCCCACACCGCAAGGCCTCGGACGAGGTATCGATTCTCCGGCTCGCCCGAGGCCCCACATCGTAAGGCCTCGGACGAGGTACTGATTCTCCGACTCGCCCGAGGTCCCGCGCCACGAGGCCTCGAACGAGCACCCGGTTACCGACTCGCTCGAGGCCGGCTCGGCATCAACTCCGTCACCGCCGCCTTGACCGACTTCCCTGACGAGACGTCACATCCAACTAACACGTTCAACCACTCCCGCGACGTCAGCCGCACGACGGCACAGTACAGCAGAGTGGCCGACGAGACAGGAGTCACATCAACCCTATGCTATTCGAGACAGGATAGGGCGGGGGTTACTGGCCGCTGTGCTCGGCACTGTGCCCACGATGGACACCCATGCCACGCTGTGCTGCCTAACTCCTGCTCAGGCATGGAAAGTCACGTCCAGGTCCCTGTAGCCTCGGAAACGACGTGCGAGGCCAACTGCTCCCTTCGAGCCTCGGCTACCCGCTTCCGGGCTCCTATAGCCTCAGGACTCGCGCCCGCCGAGCCCCCACGACGGTCCAGCCTCTGCATCGACTGGGCCTCGGCTCTCTACGCTGTCAACGCTCTGGGACCGGCACGTCGCCCGCAGTACGCGCCATGCCCTGCGTTAGGCTACAGGAGTTCCCACGTCGTGCATAGGCCTAGCTCCTGTAGCCTCGGAATCAGCGTACCCACGCCATCGCATCAACCCGGCCTCGGCACTCCGCGCCG